TGGAGCGGCTTTCACAGACACCCATAAGTAGGCGACTGTTTTACATTCTCAACACATTTATTACAACTCCAACACAGCCGCTCCACGTGAAGGCTAACTACATGGATAGCATAATGTACACGTGACACGTAACATGTGAGCTGTACTGTGACATCCCCCTCTTTACAACAGTGTCTAAGATCATAGAAATCTTTTAAGAGCTGACAGTAATTAAAATCAATGTTCAATGGTCATCAGCTGAGACTCAGATAAAAAAAAACTTTAACATGCCTTGGCCATAAGACGTAACTGTAACGAAGAACAATATCGTTTAAATGTTCAGTTACATCTAACTTTACTCTGCAAGGGGAGGTACGTTTTTTCTTGGCGGGAAAGGACTGGGGAATTTCCGTACTTTTTTCCAAAAAAAGTGTCGGCCCTCTCTTTGAATATGAATATATCTCGATATTGAATGTGTGCGCGCTGAAACAAGAAAATAGGGACTTTGCGTTCCTTCAGTCTTTATAGCGATTATTCCTACCCTAATCCTCACTTTGTCAAATGTAGGCGAACCCTCCTGAAGCTGAATTTCAAGGGACCATGGTCAAGCTCAGAAAGAGAAATACAATTTCGTCGTTGCTTGTTTACGTCCTCCATAAAACGCAAAATTAGGCATTCAGTTTCACGTCGTAGTCGTGCGAACACAGGAAAGAAATGTACAAAACTGCGCGATGCACGTGCAAAGTTGTTGTTTTGCTTATTAACCCAATTGTTTTTTTTTTTGACGTTCTCGTTGCCGCCCGCGTCGTTGGATCTTAAATTCCCTAATGCGATCAATCAGTGTGGGATATTGACGTTTTATGGCTGAAGTTTGAATATGGGAGAATAAAGTTTGAGGATTTTAAAAGTTTTGAAAAGTATAAATATAGAAGGGAAAATACACGCGCTTTTTTCCCCGACAAGCCTGCATTGCCTTTGGTTGTTTTAATGAAAAGGTTTGTTTGTTTTTTAATAGCATGCGAAATCTGGCTCTCAAAAACAAATATTTCCTACATTTTCAAATTCTGCTAAAGGCAGACAGGCTTTTGTAGGAAAGGGAAACTTCTCGCACATTGTTGAAGCATCATTGAAGCTAGGGCAAAGAAAGTAACAGGAATACAATGACATTGACTGGAAGATCTCTATCACAGAAACCATTTGTCATCTCTTAGAGTGGGTGAACTTGAACTTTACATTAATCACCACAATACTTGCATTTAAAAGAAAGAAATGTGAGAAAGTGAGAGTGGTGAAGGCACATATTGGAGGTAAGATTATGACTTTTATTGTGCAGGACAGACAGAAAAACATTCAGCCAGCTGCCTCTAACTCAAATTCAGAGTCTGCCACTGACAGTTACAGGGTAAAGTGCATTGTTGGACCTACTAATAGTAACTTTTTGGAACTAAACCCCTAGGCAGCGGATAGTCAACAGGAGCAAGAAGCTGAAGAAACGATACCTGAGTCTAGTGCATCTCGATACGGAAGGAAAAGGACACGAGTCCTTCGAGAAAACTGTGTGCCATGGCATAATATACATGGAGAAATGTAACCTAGTACCTATAATAAATCACCAAATTAAGTCAAAGTAGGTGAAAAGAACCGGTCGGATGCAACGCGTCTTCCTGCGTGGTACTTGCTCGTCCTGGTCTCCAGTTTTATCTGGAGTTCCCCAAGGAACAATCCTCGGACCCGTCTTATTCATCTTATACGTGAATGACATTTCGTCAGGTATTTCATCAACGGTTAAACTGTATGCAGATGATACCAAGGTTTACAGAGAGATCTCCGACATCGCTAGAGACACAAGCACCCTTCAGTCCGACTTATTCCACCTTAGAAATTGGTCTGAGGTCGGGCAGTGAAACTTCAATGCGAAGAAATGTGAAATTATGCGAGTTACACATAATCGTGATAAATCTGTCCCACATTACTCCCTCGTCCCGCGTGGAGAACGTCTAAGTTCAGTGAGTTCTGTAAAGGTCCTCGGCATCACAATCTCGCATGACCTCTCGTGGTCTTTACACGTTGTTGAGGTTCTCAATAAGGCCAATAAAGTTCTTGGTCTAATCAAGCGAACAATCGGTTCTGTAAACAAGGAAATCTTTTCCACACTGTCCAAGCTCTTGTGAGATCAATCCTCGAGTACGCTTCCCCTGTATGGTGCCCTTACCTAGTTACGAATCTTGTTCTCTTAAAGAAAGTTCAGAGAAGAGTTTCTCGATTGGCCTTAGGTCAGCGAAGGGGAGAGATGTCATACGAAGATCGCTGCGAAATGTTACGGTGGTCGCAGTTGACTCATAGAAGGCTATATTTTTCTTTGATTGAATGCTATAAACTTGTATTCGGACTGAATAGCCTTTGTTTTTCCGATTTTTTTTAGTTCGCTTCAAAACGTACCAGGTCCAATCACAACTACAAACTGCAAGTTAAATCGGCTAACTGCAATTGTTATAAATACTCTTTCTTTGTTAAAATTATTCGTGAATTGAATGACCTGCCCGCCAATGTTGTTGAGATATGAAATTTAAGACGTTTTAAAATAGCTCTTAAATATCGTACATGCGTATTTCTTAGGTTTTTATCCATCTTAGATTTTATTCATAAGCATATATTTTTAATTTTTATTTTTGGAAGTTTATTTACGTAGGGTCAACCTCTTAAACTTCCTTTTTAGGGTATTATTTGTATCGTTTATTTCTTATGATACCTTAAATAAAGTATGTATGTATGTATGTATGTATGTAAAAGAAAAACTTAGTCTGTGAGAAGAATGTAAAGCAACATCACAAAAAACCTCATTATAAAATTCTGGAAAAGATGTGTGACCCACCCCTTTGAATAGCTCACAAAGAGGTATGGCCCTCCCCTTTTGGTGATTCAAGCATGGGCGGAAGAGCCCCAGGGTACCGACTCTCACCGGACCATTTCTAAACGGTCAAGAGAATGCTCGTTCCTGATTGGGCACAAAAAATGCTTTGTATTATTGTGCCCAATCGACGAACAGCATCTCCTGAGTTCTTTTCGTGAGTTCGCACACGATGGCTATTATCTCGCCTCTTGCCCGGCTCGTTCACCAAGCTTTCCCATGCAACCAGAAACGAAAGAACTACCGATGAGTCGAAAAACGTTTCGGATGCAGGAGCAATTTAAGCAGGAGCAATTTAATTTGCACTGAGAAAATTCTGTTTCTGACGGATCACAATGTATCGTAAATAATAGGAAGTTTACGAGAAAGTAAAAAAAGCAACAGCTTGGCAAGGCAAAACAACAACTTTGCACGTGCATCACGCTTTTTTGTATATTTCTTTGCCGTCACTGAACGACTAGCACGTGAAAATGCCTAATTTCACGTTTTGTGAAGGACGTGAACAAGCAATGACAAAATTTTCTTTCTCTTTATGAACTTGGATATGGTTGATAGAAATTCAGCTCCAGAAGAGTTCGCTCTCATTTGACAAAGTAAGTGAGTTGGAATAATCACGATAGCGACTGAAAAAATGTGAGTTCACTCTTCATGCGATGTTTTCGTCGTTGTCAGCTGTCGTGGCATATTACACTCCCTAATATTTACGAAGGCGTGATCGATGCAAGCGTGAATATCTGTTGTAAACTCAAGATTGTATTTTTGGAAAAGCGTCTTAGTTTTCGAGTAGACAGTGTTTGTCTTTACACTAGGCTGTTAACTAAGACTTAAGAGCTGCTAAGTTTTACTTAACCAAAAATGCATGTGTGAAGGCCTAAGCAAAATCTCAATTAACTTTGCTTTGCATCTCATTAAAACCGACTTAGCGAACTTGTGGTTTCCAAGCTTGGAGAAAGGCGAAGCATGTCAATCAATCTTAGTTACGTTGCGTGGGGAAACCTGAACAAAAAAGGTAGGTTGTGTGTGACGCTTTCTTTTACTTGAAGAATTTAAAATTTACTTGTCTTGAAATATTTCTAAGCTTATTTAGGCTCTGGTGTAAAGACTACCAGTATTTTGAAATGTAGGGTTTATATCAAACTGAAAGATTCCTGACTGCATGCATTTCTTTGGTGCATGAAACAGACAAGCCGTGATCGAGTCAATAGCCGTCGTGTACGAACTCACGAATAGAACTCAGGAGATGCTGTTCGCCGATTGGGAACAATAATACAAAGCATTTTTTGTGCCCAATCAGGAGCCAGCATTCGCTTGACCGTTTGGAAATGGTCCGGTGAGAGTCGGTACCCAGGGGCTTTTCCGCCTGTGCGTGAAAACTTTTGTCACGCCTTTTCCCGGCCCGACTGACCGCCCCTGGGTCTCCGAGGATGGTGTTAATGTTGTTAACATATTTTTTTAACGGTTTAGCTAAAAGCCCACGCGTGCTTCGATCGTCTTGAATATGGGCCGAATTTATACTAGAGACGAATTATCCTTTAAACAGATTACCCGTCTCAGACGGATAAGTCGTCTCTAGTATAAACTCGGTGCTAAGACGAATTATGAAGCAAAATTCGTCTGAGGCTGATTCGTCTGTTACCGATAATTCGTCTGTCTCTAAATTTATATCTAGATGGAACGCCCCCCCTCAAGCACCATCAGTTCCCTTGTTTAATCGGCTGAAATGGTTGCCTTTTTATAAAGACGCTTTCATATCCAAATGTATCATTGCTTATAAGCGATTACAAGGTGACGTCCCTGTTTTCTCAACGATCTACTTAAATTAAACAGTAACATCCACAGTAGAAAAACCAGGTACTGTAATTTTAACCTAACCTCTCCGAGGTATAATCGCGAAACAGAAGGAGGCAGAACTTTTACCGTAACAACTTGCAAAGCGTGGAACAGCTTATCTTTGCCTGTAAGGCAAAGGGACTCAGTTGACTCTTTAAAAAAAGCATTGTGGAATGAATTTTTTAAACAGCAGAATCTTGATCATTTTTCTATTTAAGTTACTTGATGAACTGTGAGATTATTATAACGCTATATTTTATCTTATAATTTAGTAGATTTTATA